CCAGTAGGCCATCAAGTCTGACTCGCGCGGTCTTCAGCTGGGCGAATGCGACGCGTCTGTGGTTAGCTGCAGAAGTCTTAAGCTTGTTTCTAATCAACAGTTTTCAAATCGCCTGAGGATAACGACGTAGGCGAATACAATCCGACAAAAGTAAACTTCCATATGTATGCAAGCAATCTTGCACCTCAGATTGACGATGCGATGAAGCAGTTTAATGGAATCGGGAGAAGTTCGTCGTTTGAGAAATTTAAAACAGTTAGTTCCCTTTAGTCACTTGAAAGGCACAAGTAGAAGACGAAGTTAGGCAAATGCATGCATTTCGTATCGTCTCATCAGTGCCGATAATGATACCCGGTACTTTTATACAACAGTTTGTGGGTACAGATATACATACGAACAAACGGGAGAAAAAGCGCGTGTCTTTCTTTTACAACAAGCAGACAAACAAAACAAATTTTGTGCGTCTGCTGTCTTGAGCTATCGAAAACCCAACCCGCCATCTATTGGGTGATTTCGCAAATGAAACAGGACGTTTTCTGACCTTGTTTGGTACGAGGTAAGCGCATGTAGGTTATTTCGTGGCAAACTGCGCCAGAGTGTGTCACTGCGCGTTCATTGTGATGTGACGATCAAAGTCCCACGCCGCGACAAGCCCGCATTGCAGCACCGCTGGAATGAGAGTTCAGCTCAGACGTCTGTGCCATTACATCCCTTCTTTATAGGGCAACAAATGTTGTCCTATTTCTGCCGAAGAAACCATGCAAGGGCCTAAGCGGTTAGAGAGCGCATTGGTGAAATCGAGCGACATCTAACACTTACCAATCCCAGACAATACAACAGAACTATGGTGTATTACGGGTAAAAAAATGCAATGCATAACAAGTTTTTGGGATGAAAATTATTGCAAAGCAAAATTTCCTGATAAAGTGAAAAGCGTTTTGTTTGACTCATAATTGACTTATGTAGAATAACGGAGACGTTCGCGTATTAAAAGTATAGATCTGTTGGTTGGGATTTTGGTAAAACACCGTTTGGTTGCGTTTTATAGCCCCTGGCTAACAAGTTATACAATGAAATGCAAAGTAGACAATGCTTTGTCAACTCGTTTTTTAAATATCGCCAGGCTGGGAGCAGAGACGACATAACTAGGGAGGGCGTTCCAAGGTTGGCAGACGCGGAGGTAAAAGAAATTTCTGCGGCATTCAAGCCGGCTACTGTATTTGCAGTTTCAGAAGATGAGCTCTTGGGTTAGTTTTATGGTTCATTTCCGGCAGCGGGCGGCCCATGTGGTTTGGGTTCTTCAGAATCTGGTAAATCATTATGAGATCCCCCCGCAAACGCCGACATGGACTGCTTTACATTCGTGTGGTCTTCAGTCTAAGGTGATAGAGAAGATGAAATGGGCCCCTGAAGTTCAAGGTTGCCCTTCTTTGAGGATTCTCGAGAACAACGAGATCCTGTTTCTGCCACTGCTGCGACGCCTAGAGAGCATATTCCACGTAGGCGTTAAGCATTTGAAGGAAGATTCGCGGTTCAAAGCGACCGAACGCTTGGCGAAGAAGGCCATGTTAATTGCCGGTTCTCGATACCTAATCTGCTTGTCTTGGGCATCCGAGATCTTCATTTATCAGCACACCCAGGTCACGCTTCTGAGAGGTCATCTCTAATGTGTGGTCGCCAAGCTTGTAGACACTCATCGGCTGGTGACGCAGATGGATCAGCTTACATTTAGATATGTTCAACTGAAGCAGGTTCCTCTTTAACCAATCATAAATGCAATCTGGGTCATGTTGGAGTATATGATGGTCTTCATTGTTACTAATCGCCCGCCATATCTTGACGTCATCGGCGAAAAGCAGGAAATTTGAGGAGATAACTCTTTCCAGGTCGTTGATAAACACCAGGAATAAGCGCGGTCCCAACATTGAGCCTTGTGGAACACCATCTTCCACCTCAATTGGGTTAGAGAGTGATACCCTAACACTCACTTAAAGCTTCCGTTGGTGAAGAAAGTTACCAATACAATCAAGAACAGGATCTCCCATTCCGTAGCTTTGTAGCCGGTGAAGTAGGATGCGGTGATCCAGACGGTCGAAAGCTTTGGAGAAGTCCAGCTGGATGACGTCAACTCTGACCCCATCATTAGTTACTTTCGTCCAACTACCTAGTGCCATTAATAGGTTTGTGGTTCATGAGCTCTTTTAACGGAAGCCATGCTGATCCGGTGCCAAGATGTTGCATGTTTCTAGGTAGTGCCTTAGAGTCTCAGCGACGACCGCTTCCATCCCCTTCTCGAGCACAGGGAGCAGAGTCACTGGGCGATAGTTTGCAGGATCTGAACGGCTACCGCCCTTAAAATTTTGGGTGATAATGTCACGCCTCCACATAGTGGGGACTTGTTGTTCATCAAAGAACCTTTGGAAAAAAGGTGACAGTGGTTCAGTCAACTTGGTGGCCGCAGCCTTCAGCGCTTTTGGGCGGCTGTTGCCGACTCGCCGAGAGCAACGACTGCGCAATGACAGCATAACTGCTGAGTCAAAAATTACACGTGTAAACAATGTTGGTTATGCGCATGACGTTGAGGGACAGGTGGAGGCTGTGAGTTCAAAATTAAGGCCTATTGTAGCCGCAGGACATTAGCTTCATGTTTGGCGCTCTGTACTCTACCGCCTGTTGTGAAAAGTGGAGGGATCCCTCACTTTACTTAAGGAAGGCTGCTGACATACCTGCACAGTATTTTGTAATTTGCCAGAAGTTTGTGACTAGGCACTGTTGATAATTTACTTTGTTCTCATGGACAACTGCAGTGCAAAATTGCACTTCAAACGAACATCACCTATCGCAGACCAAACACACGACGAGTGTTCTAAAACACGATGGAAATTCCCAACCGCTCTGACATACGTTAAGCTCGGAGCTACTTTCTCCAGTGACCATGCTATAGCGCGTAATCGGTTAAAGGGACCTATGTATCATTGTATAAAAATGGTTACAGCGTTCTCTTCAATGTTTTAGGGCAGCAGATATGGCAAACATGTAGGTACGACTTCTGTGGAGAGCTTATGATACGCTTTAGTGCTCAACACACTACTACTCATCAGTAATATACGACCCGTCCGTATAAGTTCCTACCCTATGTCCTACATAGGCGCTATGCGGAAGTCTTAGCTCTTGAGGCTAGCCATTGTCCTCTGCACAGTTCGTATCTGGCATGGCGGTGGAAGATGTGCCGGGCTATACCATGGTCAACTGTCAATCACGCAGGTCCGAGGCTGTTACCTATGGAGAAGTGGAACTTGATACTGGCATCCCGAAATCATGGGAGCGGAACTCGGCAGGGGTCCGCTGGGAGGCGCACCACTAACGAGACCCAGAATGTCGAATCGCCGGCCTCTGGTGCTTTTCCAGACTAGCTTAAGCCTGCTGATTGGGAGTGACGATGATGAATCTACTGAATTATACCAAAATCCCCACTACTACTCAACTCTTATAGCGTTGATCAGGCGGCTCAAGCTTGGTGTCCAGGGTTAAAATGAAACGTTCATCTGTCGGGGCAGCCCGAAAGGAAAGCTTCCAACTCAACACGACAATTATCTGGTCTCGGTTACGAACTGTGTCTTCGTTCAATCGATTTGTTTTCCTCAGAATACTGACGAGTTCGCGGAGATCTTATTCTCACATACTAACTATGAGTGATCATCCGTGTAAAACTTTGCTGGCCCTTGCTCCTTACAATGGATGCCGAGGCCACGATCCCTAACTGGTAACCCAACACTCTATCTTGGGCTATAGAAAGTTCCGTTACTCTGTTAGAATCTGTACACCTTGTGATGCATTACCAGCCCATGTGGTGAACGCAACGAACATCGTGCCTTTCGAAGAACTATTAGACATGTATCTACCTGATAAATGCTACCTAACAGTCTGACAATGTGCTCTGTTTGGATTAATGATAGCTCACGCTTTAGGTCGTAACGTTGGTATGTTTTGCATTTTCTATCCCGTGGGTCTCGCAAAGCTGTTGCTAGTAATCCCATCATACCCCCATCAGCCATCAAACACTAGGAACTGGGTTCCAATTTAAGTTCTTTTCACCAGTAGATGAAAAATTCAAACGAGGTGAAACAACTCACACAGCGCAGTGTTAAAAGTGGATAACTCATGAACTATCTCCATTTTATGGACAAGTTTTACTTATCGCGGATTAGTTGCTAACCAACTTACTTCATATGCTAATGTAGCGAAGAGTTATGCCACGGTATCTGTATGCATTATCCGATTTAGTTTGTTTCATCTTGTCGGTTCAAGTGACTGGCTGTTGCTTGATATCCTCGGTGTGGCTGCGCTTGATGTGCATGTTGACAAAGTGCCTACCTGTCTATTACCCACTACCTCGTCCATACTGGCTCCAGGAGACAGTTGGTCGTTGCTGGAGGGGACGGGGTGCACGGTCCTTGTGGTCGTGCCAGGCTCAAAGAGTAATTCCATGCACTCAGTGTGGAGCGGACTACGGTCCAGGCACCACATTGTGTGCGCTTGATTCCCAAATACAGCGTGCTTGTGTTCGCCTGTGAAGGAGTGTGGGCCGGCTCCGTTGATGAAACGTGGCTCCCATCCACATGCCTCCCGGTCTTATTCCTTCGGGTTTACACTGTATATGGGGTGTGTGGACGTAGCTGTGGGTGGTGCAGTGCAAGCCATCCATGGTCCCTCTGTAGGCGCAGGCGTCCTGTGGCTTGCCACAGTGACAGGCAAATCCGAAACCGGATGCCGCCAACTATCTCCATCTCGCACACGGCTTAATCGATCTGGGTGCTTGATAATCAATTCAAGGTAAATTATGTTCCGAACTGTGAATGCTTGTCGCAGTTTAACACACGCGGTTGGCAATCCAAACCCCGGCAATGTATTCTCCATCAGTGTTATTCGTCTGCCAGCGTTCACGTGACCAAACGTGTGAAATGCAATGATCTTTATTTACATCTTCCCAATTCACCTACTAGTGATGTAGACAGCTGGTTGCAATTTTCGGGATGAGCGAAATGGCACATTATTGGGTGGAAGCGTAGATGAATTGGCTCTGCAATACATCATTAAGGTGAAACAATCCACGGGGTGTATTAAAAGCGGAATCGATTTTCATTCAGTCAAAACGGTTATATTGCGGCGCAGATTAGATTTTGTGAGAAGTAAATTATGTACAAATCAAGCAATCGAGGGTTTCCTCCGTACCCGGTGATCGATAGTTTGAACAATTAATCGCGTCTGAAAAAAGCACAGGTAAAACAACACGTCACAAATCAATTCCAACAACAGATAATCAGCCGAGGTTGAAAAAAAGTTGCATATCGTTTACTGTCGTTGTAAGCACACTTACTGTCTCGAAAAATGTCAGTACGAGTTTTAATTATGACGCGAATTACGCTAGGATTTACGTGAATCACAACGAGCGTTTTGAAACACACCTTCACACATTTGCCAACCGCAAGTGTTATTCGTTCGTGTCGGCATATTTTCAACCGGTATCGATTGACGCGGCAACGCATCGATCGGCCGCCGACCGACTGCCCAGTCCTTCAGTTTGATGAACTACCAAAATGTGAATCGAGTTTAGCAAGTAGAATAAATTAAAACCCAACAACTCTACTCAGTGTATGAAGAAGACTCGATGTTAGGTGGTATTGGACTGTAGTCAACAAAATAAGTATCGTTCCGGAACCTCTGACCGCATTATATACAACACATTCACTTTTGGCTTATGTACTTGTTAAGAGCACATATCGAGCGAATCGTAGGAACACATCCAAATATAGGAAGTTAACTGCTTAAATGATTTTGTTTGTATCAAACAAAGTTTCCCAAGGTCGTCGTGCTGCCCTGCAAAAATCCAGACAAATCGGGCGGTTATGTGAACTCAAAGTTGATGTCACACGTGATTGAGTCAGTAAACAGAATTCCCCGTCCATTACCTACCAAAACAGTTGACTTCTGTAACGCTCCTAGGTAAGCAAGATTTCAATCAACCCGCTAATGTTGTATTGAGCTCTATACGGAGTTAAATGATGATAAAATGATTTACCTGGGAGCAAAGAGGAGCATGGAACACCTTGCGCTGAGGGTGGACACATGGAAAATTAATTCAACTTACGGGAGTCTCGGGCTCGCTTGGAAGGGATGATCTGCTTGCTACAGTCAACCATCAAGGCGCTTTTCTGGTTCGTATACATCAGACACCTGAATGCATAAGAACGCATATGTTTTCAGATTACCTAAACGAAAAATGTGGCATATAATAACATGGCTTCATTATTACAAATTTCATAACAATTTCGCAGCCATACCCAGTGGAACCCTAGCCTTCATCATGGTAGGGCTAGCATTCCCAGTCGGTTGTATATGGAAGGAGAACACATACCATACTTAGTCACAAGAAGTGTAACAGAGTCAATGCTTTGCCTGAATTATTTGGATAATAGCTTTAGGTATAACGTATCCACAAAAAAATTCAACCGGCGTTTCACTGCGCTCAATATATATATATATATATATATATATATATATATATATATATATATATATATATATATAATCAAGAGGCCGAGAAGTGGATATGACACCTCCAGGATACTCGATACTCTGGCGGAGACCGTTATAATGAAGGAGGCAATATGATTTCACCAGTAAATCACGAAAAACACAAACAGAATAAACACACAGTAGTAACCATTTGCGTGCATTCTATCACTATCATGACTCAATTCGTTGTCAAAGTAAATCCGTCCCACCATTCATTCGTTTAGGTTACACAAACCCACTTGTTGCTAACTCATTGGACTGACCAAGCGCTTTCTTGTACTTGATTGGCTGTCTACTTACGTTTCTGTACAACGCCACTCTTAAATACACTAATCCATGTTTGGGGGGTATAAAGCATTTGTCCTGATTAGCACCCGTTTCCACCCGTTCAGATACCATATATTCGAGTCTCGAGTAGGTACTACCCTGTTCACTTATCCCGACCGGTTAACATTCATTTCCTCAGAAGCAAACCACTAGACCTTTGGTCAAGTAGTAAAACGTTACTGGTCCTACACACGGTCTTACAAGTGTGCGATAACCTCAGGAATTAGCAAATGAAAAGCATTTTTGATGTAGTCACACAATCCGAACAAACTTTAATGGAGTACTTACCCAATAAGTCAGGAATTATTTCGTATTTTTTAATAAGAGGAGTGCAGAACGTGAGTAACGTTAAGACGAATCGGGCTCAGTCAGGTCATCATCACTAGACACCTGGGAGAGCGTTTGCTGCCTAATTCCTGTCTCCAGAAGTTATTGCTCACGCTTTTTACCGTGGAAAAGAGTAGACTTGCAGTTTTGGGGTGACTTACTTTTTGTAGAATTAAATCAACGGTTGGCATTCAGTGTGGTTAAACAAGTGATTTTAACATGCGTCAGCTGACCTTCCACCGCCGGGTTTCATCTAACGAGCTCTGTCCTACTCTATGTAGCCTCTATTACTTCTATTAGTAAAGCGCTCTGATCACAACACGCACGTAGCATATGGTTTTCATCCAAATGAAAATTGACCGTTATCCTGCATCACTTCACCAGAGCCCGATCTCCAAATGATATCTACTATCAATTAAAGAGAAACACCTCATAACCTCTGTAGTCACTACAAAGCATCTGCCCATCGTCCAAGGAAGTGTCCGTTCAAAAATTCACAGTAGCTGCATACAGTGAACGTACGACAAAGAGATGATAGCACCAAAGTTGTGTTAAAGGAGATATGCCTGAATGCTCATGGCTCTAGTGTCGTTTATCTACTTCGTGTAGGTCGGTCGGTGGTTGAGTGGGCTGCACGCCTGACTTGTCACCATAAGATCCCCGGTTCGAATCCGCGTGGGGGGGGGACGTCCTCGAGGTATACACAACCCACGCGTGACTGGGGCTGGTCACACGGCAGCGAAGTGCAGTTAAGGCGTACAGCTGACACATTATTAATAGTATTTCAATTCGTGTAGACTTCCAAACCAAACGTCACTCCAGTGCTTTGTTTGTCGAGATGTTCACCAGCCTTCGCTTGTTCGTGGACTTTAACAAACTGCACGTTTGTGCCCACCATCCAACTCTACTCAGCGACAGTTTAAGTAGGGGCCAACGGTTTCACGAGATGGGGCTTCAGAGAATGTAGCTTCATGAGACAGTGTTCCTAGCTGAAAACTGTGGACATGACACCAGTGTGCATGAGTTCCCGGTGTTACCGGTAATTCACACTGACTCGCTCACATCTCCATGTTTACATTGGCAAAATCAATGGATGTTGGTTGAATTGGTGAATGCCAAAGTGGTATAAAGGACCTGATCATCAAAAGAGCTCGTCAAAATGGAAAAAGCATTAAAGCACTCTCACTCTGGTTTCCATTTCTCTTTTCCGTGCCTCCGTGTACGCGATGTGAGTACGAACGCGTACAACGACGTTGATTAGGCATGCAGCGGTTATGCCAACCGGTACACCGATTGCCAGCAGTATCAATCCCAATGCTGCCAGGCCACTAGATAAGGGAAAGCAGTAAGAAAGGAGGTGGGTGTGATGAGAATACAAAAGAAAGGTGTGGGTTCAAGGTAAGTCAGATCTCATAGGATTCGCCGCACAAACGGACCAGTTTTGAAGAGAAGGTAATCCAGTCAAAGTGTCCAAAAACAAACACTAAATTCCGTTTCTCTCAATAGAATCAAAAGATAGCTAACAGGTTATGGGTGAGTTATAGCATCGTACCTAACAACTGCCTCTCCATGTTCACCTGAAATCTGGGTCCGAACATTGTGGGTAAGCAAACCAAAGTGATCAGTTAATCCATGTTTCTCCAAGCATACCACAAAGTCCGTCTTCGTACCAGACAAAGTTTAGTGAGATAACATGACCAACTGGTCGTTTCAACAAAAAAACAGCACCCTCAACAATCGAATCCGGTAGTTTTCGATTCGCACTTGTCCAAAGGAACATTACAAAACTCATGATTGTGTAATGTTTTTGAATGCAAACGTTGTAGTCTATATCACCGGCCGGTGGCCGAGTGGTCTGCACGTTTGCTTTGCAATCATAAAGTCACCGGTACGAATCCGCGTAGGGGTCGGCATCCTCGCGGTATACTCAGCCCGCGCGCGACCGGTGGTGGTCGCGCGGCAGCGGAGCGCCATTACCGCGTACATTATTATTATTATTATTATTATTATTATTATTATTATTATTATTATTATTATTAGTCCATATCACGACATGCCCTCTCCCAGAGCACTATTCTTCGAGAGTAAGACCACCCAAACAACAACGACAACAGCAATAACAGCCAGGCAGGCAGAGGTGAAGAGCACCTAAAGCATCGTAACAATTCCAACCAATAAACTAGCAGCATTTTTCTGCTAACTGGCGGCGGTCGGGCTACAATACTATCTAACGGTTTAAAAGCGCCTCCGTCACTTCATGGCTGTTTGACCAGAAATAGTAACATTCTTGGTAGAGACACTGCGAAATTATTCGCCTTCATTCGGGCACATATTGGTGACTTGTGGATTACAAGAAAGAAACTTCATCCATTTGACACTCGGTCGACATCACTTGGCGAAGGAGCGCATCAACAATGAGACTGCAATTCATACAGACGCTTCGTTGCCACATGAACAATAGCAATCGCAAGCTGACTATAGACCCTGCGAAGACGCCCGAACGTATGCAGTCTCGAAGCATCGACTCGTGGCCTACAAATGAGAAGCTTGGACCATTCGGTCACTGGCCAACGAAATAAGAGCGAGGAAGTGACTGCTGGCTTAGAGGGACTGTACATGACCTTGTTCACATCGAGAGAGAGACTACATAACATTTAGCGGCTAAAGTAAAGGGGGTGTCATGAAATGTAAGCAACCATGAGAAGGTGCATTGTACTCAAGGCCCACCAGTACTCTCCACCTTAGGGCAAACAGTCCTGCGAGTCACGTGCGTTAACAGAACATGAACAAACGAAGGCGATTACACGACCGTGTATAACCCATGCAAGAGCACTAGTATGCTCTGGGTCAATCACGGTGCGTTTACTTGCACATTGTGAAGCATGCTTATCATTATTTTTATTGTTGTTTAACAATAAATAGGCACAATGACTCTCACAATTTGGGCTAGTGAGCTCTTGCAGCTAATAGACGCTTATGGAACATCAAAAACTATGCAAAACTGGCGAGATTTTACCAATTATTAAAACACCGCGTTTCACTTGAGATGTTCTAAACAAGAATTTGATTACTACATCTTTGGACTACTACAATCCACAACGGTGGGAAGCCCTTACTGGATAAACTGTGACTAAGAAAACTGCAGTATTTAATACATGGTCAGCAAGCTTTGAATCTTAGCTAGATTGACCAAATTTACCGTATTATTAGTCGAACACATTACGTTGACAAGACCATAATCGCATTAGCAACATAAGTAATAAGGTAGCAGGCTTGTCATACCTGAGCGTTTTTGCGTACCGGGCACTAGGCGCCTTCTTAGAGAATCCAAAAAAAACATTCCTCACCAACTTTAGCAATTCACCCGCATTGCTGGAGAAAACAGAAGCATGGTGGCGCAAGCCAGGTTCGGTTGACAAGCTCAACTTGAAAGTAATTTTTGCAGGTTGCACTTTCTAAGTTCTCCCCACAGCATGGTTCCGGACGCGAAATAGTTCCTCTTAAATGGACGCGTGTTTGAAACGCGGCGGACGGTTGTAGTTAGAATTGTGTTTGGGTGTACGTCAGACTGTCTTCTATCAAAAAGTGTCTCATTTTCCCCAAATAACTGACAACAGTTGTTCATTCACGGATAAGGCTGTTACAACTTAATGTCGATGCTCATTTGGCAGATTGTGCTACTGCATACAAGAGTACACTAGTGCGAGAAGCCCATCCAAGTGTCGAAAAAGATGGAAACGTTACGATGCTAGGCAGGGCTGCCTTGATGTAGTGGTGTCTGTCATTTGAGACAAAAGGATAACAGTGCAAATAAGCTCAGGTGGTCACAATTTACAGCAGTGAAAACTGCATTTCAAGAATGCATGCAAATTTGATCAGAGAACCGCCGATGAACCAACGAGGTAGTATTTTGCCCACTTTTTGACTTCGCGCAGTCCTCTCTCAAAGAAGTTAAAGGGCCAATGTGACCCTGATAGATAAATGCGTCCTTTAGTATCGCTGATCTGTTAGCAGTTACAGAGCCTTACTACGCGCCAGTCGTCTGGAAATCCCCATTTCTTTGCCTTCCGGTAGAGAAGGTCAAATATTTTGGGTTCATAATGATGAACACATGTACTGACAGGAAGAAACAGAACCAACTATGTGGACAGAGCTACAAATCCGTGAACATTACCATACGTGGGCAAAACTTACGTGTTTTGATCTGGGAAATACAACGAGGGCCAATAGGCGAGTTTTAATCCCATTCCAATCACGATGAGGAGGATGGCAAGAATGCTGAGGACGATGGTGGCCACGAGCGTTTGACGCACCGTCGGCCGCTGTTGCTCACGTTTACCATGAATGAGCCGATCGGACTCCATGCACTCAAATTCACTCTGTTGAGATATGTTCTGCTGGGCTTGATTGTTCGTTCATTTCCGCATCTGACCATTTCCGGCTGCTAAGCCACGCTCTGTTTACTGTATACATTCTGACTGGTTCTGATTGGCCACAGCTTCGCGTGGGCGTTGCTTCACATTTGATTGGGTCGGTGATCACCGAGCGGTCAAACGCAGTGCAATTACGCTTGTGGATGTGGTGGGAATAAACCTGAGAAGAGGAGCATAGTGCCTTCGTCGTCACAAATGAAGACTAACACAAAAATTAACTACGCAATGCACACAGAACTCACATTAGTGGGTGACGTTGAGTTAATCACAAAACACCCCTACAAGTCACGGCAATTTACAAAGCCATTCCCAGCCAACGTCAACTTCATTGGGCACCTGACATAAGGATTCTTCTTCCTCATCCTTTCCGTGTCACCAGCCCCCATTGAGCTATAGGGCACCGAGGACACTGACGGATTATGTTACTACGCACTCACTGAACAGACAACAATATCATTAAACTGGAGAACAAAATTGCTTGTCTAACGATACGACGTCACAGAAACAGGTAGAACTGCGTTGGGCTCACTCCTACTTAACAAACACACAAAGCTCTTTCAGATTCTGTTCTGTTCTCTAAGCTGAACAGTTTCGTTGCAAACCTTTCATCTTACTGACGGTAAGAGTCGACAAACCACTCAGTTTGCTTATTACGCACTGAAAAAGTCACTTCGATTGGTGATGAAACGTTTGCAACAAAAGTGTTCAGCTCGGAGAACAGAACAAAATCTGAACAGACCACCCGAGCTACAGGTATTCCGAGTTATTACACAAAGCTCGTATGTATTAGTAACATAAATGATGGCCCATACCTGTGTTCTATTAACACTATACTACTAATTGTGACCGTTTCACTTGATAAATGAGGTAGAAATATGGAAAGTCGTAGTTGTCTTCCAGCTCTAATACTTTTCATCGGGTCGATTACAAGGATCACCAACGCCAAGTCGCGGTTTCAAGTTCTTGACGGTATCCAGAGAATGTGCTTTGCTAAGGAAAAAGAGATAGGAAGGGCTCTCAAATCTTCCATGATGCCCGTGATTATCCAACTGCGTCTAGCCGTAATGAGCGCTCGATAGATTTTTATTTTGCGAATAGTCAGCATTACGCATTCTATCTTCCACCTGTGAGGCTAGAACCCACACCCCAACTGTTACCATTCCGCGAGTAGGACCACTGTGCTACGGGGGACGGTAACGATCATCGTGAGACAGTAACCAGGCAAATGTGACGCCATACACTATTCACTGACCTACACTCTACTGCTGTGCAAAGAGTAGGGTAGAACCTCACAAAGGGACGAAACTGCCAAACTTAAGCCGTCTAATAACTTATGATACTATATAGAGTTTTGTCTGCGTACTCATTCCAAGGAAGTGGCAGGGGGTTTAGATAGGATAGGTGGAGATTCAGCACATCTATACTCAATCAGACAACCATGAAGGGGCTATCCTGCCCTCTACACGGCAGTAACGTGAATTCAGTGAAAAGTGAGCGGCGCCATAGTATATATAGTACATTTGTCACGATTGGCTTTACCATCCCCCTTAGCTCAGTTGTCTTAACCACAGACTGGCAACACTCGAGTTGTGGGTTCGAGTCCCAAATGGCTGGGATGGAATGCGTATTGCTGCTGATTACCGAAATGATGAATGAGCCATCCAGTTCTCTCCGGGAGTGTACCTCTGTCTGAGTGAATCTAGATATGATGCATTTCTATGTATACCACTCAACATCCCTCGACTACTCCGTCGTAAGTTTTAATTTCGCCATATGTACGGCTTCGGGTTATTGGACCCTCATGGTATATTCATGACATCTGAAGAACTGTATCTGATTTATCATGGCCAGACTTACATAAAATAGCCTGAATAGTAAACGTGTCCAGGTATTCATAACGCTCAAGTGTCTGCGATAAATTTAGAGTGACATTAACACACTGAAATGAGACAGTCGTCGGTCTTTGGTTTGAGCTTTGATGGTTTCCAGGAGTGAAACATATATTGGTGGCTGTGGTTCGTCTTTTGTCTCCTCCACTTGACCGCGACAAATGACAACATCAGCCTGACAGTGGGCTTCGGTTACACCTTACAACAATATGACCTCATATTCACGATTCCAGCGACAGAAATGGAATTGGGTATAATAATCGGTTCCTAAATCACCGCAAAGTGCGACCTTTTATGTTCGAAACACACTTAAAAGTGTCATTATTTGTGGGTCTTTATATAATGAAGAAAGTTATATACAGCTTAAGTTGTCACCTGAAAACTAAGCGGAATAGGGGAGAGCAGGTTAGCTCGAAGACACGCCATTGTGTGTCCAAAATAGTAGGCCCTTGAAAGAGCAAGGTGAATAAGTCAGCTGAGGGCCCCGTTGCTCGGAATTCACGGTCTCGTGTCTCACATCCCAGTTACCCACAACAGCAGAAAAATAAGTCAGTAAACAAATTGACTTCGATACTACCTACTTTTTCACTTATATTATAACCTACTTACATGCATAATTTATTTCAGTACGTGGTGGAATATCGTCCTAGATGTTCTGAGCACAGAACAAGTTGCGGAATAGCCGCCCCTGAAAGAATCCCATGGGCCAGCTGGCAAACTGTTTCTCACTTACTGTCTAGGTGCACCTGCACCGGAAAGGTGACTCTTATCGAGGTGCATTTACCCAAGTTTGTAGAAACCTGCCTCTGCTCATCATCATGGACTCGTAATGAATACTTTTCGTGCGCCTTGAAACTAATTCTGCAAAATGTTTATTCCACTGGAATTTTGAGAAGCATGCTTGTTAGCCCATCACAGTGTAGAACAGTGAACCGACAATGCTCGCAATTTGGCTGCTACGGATCCGATCCCAGTGAAAAAACTGAGCAAGGTTCACTTCAGTGTGAGCAGCGGTCCACACTGAAATTGTGTATCACGATGCATTTACATGTGCGAATCGAAATGAACCTACAATAATTCATGAGCCATTGAAGCAAGCGTTGTCCACCGTTACTCGGTAGACTTGAGCAAAGGCTTCAGTCGATAAGCAACACACTGCGGATCTGAGTTGCAGTAATACTACCGCTACCTGAGGAGTGGAAAATGGTAACTAGGTCATTTAGCGCAATACTTTAGCCGGGTACCAAATAATAACAACGGTTCATTGACAACTCTGAGCCAGCATGCTTCGTGTATTGCCTCAACTCTGCCGAGAGACGTCGCAATAAACATGTCGTCTAGGGTAACCGAAAGTATGGTTCAATAGAAATAAGCATTTAGCGATGGATGTGCAACATCGATTACCGCGAACAAAAGGAGTGCAAAGCCGTGCTACCAATGAACAGTGGTTTAGTACTGTTAACAATACGTGTGTCTGACAAGTCCTTAGGTTGACCGGAGCCAGGATGCGAAAACCAAAAGTCAAAATGGCGGAGATAGAACTAGGACAGTTCGAGTTTCAGATAACTCACGAAGTAATTCGTCTAAGCGCAGCTGTAGTATTACTTAGCTCTTCGTTACAGAGAAAGGCGGTGAGCACACTCTTTGGTATGTGTCATTTCATCTTCGGATTAAAACTGGTATAACACGACATGAAAACGGGATAATGCCACGTCAAAGAGTCTTTGAATTGCATTCATCTGTGGGCAAAATCGATGCGTACTGGATGCGCTTCCCATATTCGGGATGTCCGAAGGCAGAAAATATTTCTTTTGGCAATCATGTTAACTAAGATGTGTGGCTTGTTTGAGTTGGTTGCACCCTAGGTTAGTATTGTGGCTTAGTTTTAACAGACTGCATCAGACTTGATTGGGCTTCGCCAGTATTTGGTACACCGTGATGAGATCTCATCGCAGATACCCATGTTCACCGCTGTACAAGTCTGAGTTGACAGGGTAAGTAAAACCAGCCCCTGATGCCTTTAGTGGTTATACGTTATGCAGCATCAAGCATATCAATATCACGTCTGCAACGTGGATGCTAAACTCGAACGGCGCTTTCCACCGGAATTCTCAAAAATTCCCGAACGCTATCCCTGGGAAACCAAGTAGCTGATTGGATCTTCGTGACGATTATTCGACCGGTCTCGAGTAATCATAGTCATCCAGCGATTACTCCGACATCGCTTTTCTGGGAAACACTGGAACCGTGTCCCCGAGGCAAGCTGGAATGATTTTTGCGGAACGAATAACCACGACCCGAAAACATTGGCACTACATTCGCAAAACGCTGTCCTAGGAAAATATCGTAGCACAATTGTCGAAAAAGTCGGTCCTTCGGGGAGAAACGATCTATTCGGCGAAGCAAGCTCCGCAAAACTGACAGTCTGACAAGTTTGTAGGAACCTCGACATAAATAACTAAGTCATTGCCACAACTAACGACGATGCTGCACTCATGAGATTCTTCCTTTGAATAAATTAAATACACTTGCTCCAGTGAACCATTCAGCGTGTAGACGAAATATGTTAAATTGTCCAATCAAATGCTCTGATTTTTTGCGGCACGCTAGCCGCTTGTTTGCATAATCCTATCACACTCTGCATTTTTTCGGGATCAGTTGCATCGGTGTCGCAGAAGAATCACTACGATCTTTCGCCCCGCGTCGTCTTTGCTGCCTCTATCGTTGCGATCTCTCCGTAAGGTGTCAAGTGTTTTGCTGCAGATTCATTTTCTCGTTCCCGGTGTTGTCTCAGCTGCACCCGGTTCCTTCTGATTACCTTCCCTCCGGTACCCACTTTATAAGATCTTCCTCCAACCTTCGCGGTCATCACGCCTTTCTTCCATTGTTTGCTGACACCCGGTATTATTTGCATCCACACTTCATCATTTACTTATAGTACCGGTAACGCCCGGGCCCTGCGGTCGTAATACACTTTCTTAGCTGTCATCCGTTTTCTTAAGCACCTTTGCATTTGCTCATGCCATGACGAGACAGGGTGTAGGAGTTCAGCTGTCGCAGACATTGGAGTTCTTGTCCTTCTGCTGTACGTAAATTGTACTGG